CTCTTGACGGATCCCCGTATCACCTGAGCCGAAGTAGCAACAACTCATGTTCACAGCCTACTGCGACGTCTGATCGAAGCTGACGTGGTAGAAGCTTGGATGACAAATGATCAGTTGGGCTGCTGTGCGAAATGACATTGATTTTAACATCTTTTTTCTTCTTTTTTTTTTTCTTTATCTGTCACTGTCATATTATACGCCCTACCCCCGTTTTTTCTTTTCTCGCTGTCATGCTCCACTTCACATATGAGCACCTGACGAGCTGATGTGGACGACGAAGGATTCCTCCTCCTCCTCCTCCTCCTCCCCCTCCTCCTCCTCCCCTCCTTCGTCCTCCACGGTGGCCGGGAGTGAATATCGAAGTAAACGTGCACAGTGTAGATGATGATGATGATGATGATGATGACAATGGTGATGATGAGCATGATGACGGACAGGGGTGATGACGACGCGGCGATTACGATGCTGATGATGATGCTGGTGATGATGCTGATGATGATGATGCTGATGATGGAGATGACTGGCCGGGGTAAGGATGATGATTATGATGAGGAGGACGGTGTGATGGTGACACGTGACAACCATGCAACGTGGAGTCATGGCTGCTGCATCAGGGAGTACCTGTACTCCTACAACCGCCCCAGAAACGTGACATCCATGCACGTGACGGGAGCATGTGACAGCCAAGCAACGTGGCTGCTGCCAGCACGTGGCAGATGCCAGAAACAGAACTTAACATTCGAGCCATGCAGGCTCACAGTTCGTGTTAGCCTTCACCTTGTGTGTCACGAACTTCATATCCCACATACAGGTGTGCGATGAACAAAAGTCATGAACAACCACAAACGACAATGTCTGGGGCATGGCTTTGTCATGACACGAAGTGAGGCACAGGTTTGCGGTAAGGTGCTTTATATGCCGCCGGACTGAAAGCAGATCCAGCCTGAAGATCATTTTTTTTTTATTTTTATTTTTTTTTTTGCCTTGCACTGATATGAAGACCACACACACATACACAGGGACTGCAATCTCACACACACACACACACACACACACACACACACACGTTTTTTTTTTTTTTTCAAATAATGCAAAACATTATAAGTTGATACACGTGCCCACCCGCGCTGTTATTTCGAAATGCACATTTCTGCCACTTGTCCCCTAATGACAGCGTGGAACCACCAGCTTTTCGTCGGGAAAAAAAAAGCAGGACAACGTAATTTGGGAAATTACCCCCTGACAACATCCCACTGATATGATAAAATGGTATGTTTTGGCTGTTTTGGCTATAGGAACTTGCTGTATCTTTTGGTCTTTGAGTTATATTTTAAGTGGATTGCCTTCACTGCCTTTCCTCACTTTTAGTTATGCCCTCGGAATGACCAAAACATACACACGGAAAGCAAACATTGCATTACGGGCTTATATATTGACGACCAAAACATCCACCCGGCAGGCGGCCACGACGGACATGGTTCAACCACAGGAACACACACACACACACACACACACACACACACACACACACACACACACACACACACAGGGAGTACTGTTCCCCAACAGACATGAGAGAGAGAGGGAGTCACAGAGAGAGAGAGAGAGAGAGAGAGAGAGAGAGAGAGAGAGAGAGAGAGAGAGAGAGAGAGAGAGAGAG